AGAAAATATTTTCGTGAACCGATTCTATTTTTTGTTTCTCATAAAGTACACTTAGTTATACGCACTTACATTTAGAACGATACTTCAAACATTTCAATTGGTATAAAATTGTCAGCGATATAAAACGGTACACCTTCCGGCATGGGCTATTATAAAGCAATAAATTCAGCGGGCGATGCCATCGCGACAGACGGACAATTGATCTCAAAGAAGGAAACCGTAAACATACAGGTGAGATTACAAGACTCTTACAAAGACTAACGCTGCAATGGAGATAAAAACTTTGCCAATAGATAAAGAAACAAAACACGACTTGCTCATTTATAACGTATGTGAACGTACCTATGACGAAGTTGAGAGGTGAAACACGGGCGTGGAGAATTAACTATTTCGCCGTAAACAAACTATAGATGGTGCTTGCTTGTATGTGTTGGAGCAGAGGTCAACGAGAAGCGAAACAAACACATTAAACCATACGCAAATAGCTTGTGTTGTGCAGGACTTGAACCTGCAACGGACTATTAAGCACTAATTATGACAATAATTATGAAAAGAAGTCCACACTATTTAGTATCCATCGAATATTGACTCTTTTTGACAATCACAACTGACAAAAGATGTTGCTAATACCCTTACTATTGTAAAATACTATTACTATTGTAATTGATTTTCTACTATTTTTTAGGAGTCTCATCTACGATCTTTTCGAGTGTGAACTATTTGGTGCAACTGTTAGTGATTGTGTAACTTCTGAATAACATTTGTTATACAGAAGTTACACATTATGTCAAATTCACAAAATAGTTTTTGTGGAGACAATTGTTCGTAACTAAATGCTTAAATCCGATAGATGGCGCTGTAGTATATTTATTAACAAATATAATTTCACTGACCAAAATGAATAATTAGTGACATGTGTAAATTGATTACAAAAAACAAAAATCTGATCCGGACGCGATAGGTGAGGCTGTAGTTGTTATCATTAAACTTTGTATTAAGATAATAAAAAGTTCAGAGTAAAACTCATCGCACCACCTACTGGAAAGGGCAGAAAAACGGATAGTTGTATTTACAAATTACATAATATTAATATGAATTTAATTAATAATAATAATAAGCCACTGAGGGGATCTATTCTAACCATTTCATATAATTCTGCTCAAAGAAACACGTAGCCACAATGTTAATAGAAAGTGAAAATTAATATCTTCCGCGTAGCTTTTAACATTCTGGCTTTAAATACTAACATTGTACCCACGACTATAGCAGAATAATATTCCAAGCTCAACCTGACTCCGTGATATCAAAGTGATACTATTACATCCTTGGAATATTTATAACCGTTCTCTGATTATATCCATAAATGGGAGATTTGTCGCTGCGTCTAGATTCAGATTTATATCGAGTAAATGTAAATCGTGCGAACGCTCTGATACGGAATCGCGACGCATTTATAAAATATTAACAGAACATGATTTGAGTAAAATAGCCGGAAATCTCACAGAGCATGCCGCGGCCTGGAATGTGTTGCTTGTATGTAAATAAATTCTTTTCCCGCGCTTATTCTCACAACTTATGTTTTGGGTCTTTAATGATTACTGACTGTCCCGTAAGTGTGCAGTGTGATGAAATCATTGCATCAAAATTGTATTAAACTATTTTGCTGTACAAATTTACAACAGTAATAACTACAACAAGTGGTTTTACGTGGTAGAGCCATGCTGCAGCTATATGTGTATTAGTAGTATATTTGTAGCACGAATGGGTCGGCGCGACCGGGGAAGGAAAGCTTTACGCTGCTGTGTTTCGTATGGTGAGTGTAGAGAACCGGAGACCCTTTTTACTGGAAAAGAGGCATTCCATCTTAGTCCTCACGGGTGAAAACGCATCTGCATCTTGAGTCTTTATTGAAGATAGATGTAGATGTCTATGGGTCACAGTAACCACTTACCATCAGGTGGACTGTGTACTCGTTTGTCACCCTATCGTATACAAAAAAGTGGTAAAATTAAAAAAAATTGTACAACCGACTTCAATATAAATAAAATAAGAACATCATCAATGTAGTCTTTGTTATATGGCAGCGAAACCTGGGTATGCCAGAAGAAGCATAAAAGTAAGTTAAATGCAGTGGAGATGCGATCTCTTCGTAAAATGTGCGGCGTTACTATGGCCGACCGAAAGCGAAACGAAGAGATTCGCAATATGGCAGGTTTGAAAGATGACCTTATCACAAAAATTGATAAGGGCGTGCTTCGGTGGTTTGGGCACGTTGAGCGAATGAGTGAAGACCGAATGGTGAAGAAAATATATAGCGCGAAAGTTAATATTAAAAGGTGTCGAGGTAGACCGAGACTAACTTTCGAAGACCATGTGAGCAAATTGCTCGAAGAGGGTAGGGTCAAGAGTACTCGGATACCTAGACGTGCATGTATGAAGAAGATAATGAATCTGAAAGAAGCAAAAGAGATATGTAAGGATCGTGACACTTGGCGATCTGTTCTCTCTGGCTACCCCGTCAGGGATTGTGCGTGAAGATAAGTAAGTAAGTAAGTAAGTATCAATGTAGTCGACGTCAATTAAATACGCACTATTAAGGGTAACTCTAAAAACGACTGGTATCTTGATTAAATTTATATGGGACCACATGAGAAGCACCAGCTTTTAAATAAAAAAAAATCATCAAAATCGGCTCACCTAGAAAAACGTTACGTAAAAAAACTGATGTAACACACGCAAAAAAATATTAAAAATATACAGTCTAATTGAGTACCTCCTCCTTTTTTGAAGTTGGTTAAAAACTAATTTTTTTTTATAGGATAAGGGTGACAAACGAGCACACAGTCCACCTTATGGTAAGTGGTTGCTGCGGCCCATAGACATCTACATCTATCCTCTATTACAAATCAAAATGTAGATGCGTTGTCACCCGTGAGGACTAAGATGGAATGCCTCATTTCCAGTAAAAACGGCCTCCGGCCACCTGCACTCACCAAGCGAAACGCAGGGGTAAACCTCTACTTCACGCTGGTTTTCTGTGAGGTCGTGGTACCACCCCGGTTCGAGCCGACCCATCCGTGCGACAGCAAAAGCTGCCGCGTGGCTCTACCACTGTTAAAAATCGTTCAAATCTAATCTAATAAATACAATTAAGGCTATAATCGTTAAAATCTAATCTAAAAAGCAGCAATTTGAGGTGTATGGTGAAATATAAATAAAAAACATAATATGTAATACCATTTTCTCAGATGCCCGATACATTATTTTATTATGAGCGATATTTTTATTACTAGAGACAAAATTCATGATGATTTTTCATCATGAATTTAGTATAATGTAAATTTAATTACTCGTATTAAACACAAACTGCTTCTGAGCCGAAAATATAATAGACCAAGGGTCAAAGTATGGCTGGACAAAATTTTTCACATCGGTTGAAATCCTAACTGTAAACGATTTTCGAAACGCACGTCTTTCTATTGAGATCTCAGCATGAGATAAATAAAATTGGAGATTCCAATCACAGGCATCGCAGTAGGTCTTATAAATTACAAAAAATACTCGATCGTGTGAAAATTATCATTATTAAAATATGTATATATATATATACATATATAAATCTTAAGGATGAATCATCATCATCATCACCATTACAGCTTATTAAAATTTCACTGCTGAAAATAGGCCTCTCCCATAGATGGCCATGAGAGGATATTTGCCATAGTTGCCACCGCAACCACAGTTATTTTAATTTTGAATTGTTATGAGGAAGAAGCTGCTGCCCATACTCTGTTTTATTTTCCTCTATCGACACCTTTGGGTGTTGTGTAGTGACGAAGAGAATACAATATACCATGAGGAGTAATACGATAAAAATTTTTTTCGTAATTTGGAAAAGCCTGTCCTGATGTAGCGGTGTGCTTTGATCAAACCGTTTCCTTTTTCTCAACCTGTACAACAGACATATGAAATTTTACACGGACTAAGTTGTGGATAACCGCTATAATATATAAAAACTCTATTTAGATTGCAATCATTTATGACCTAGTTCTTAAATCGTAGAGTTTTAAATGAAATGGTATTTTAAATGAGATATAAATCGTATATTAACTTTTAAAACTTATTTACGTTTCTATAATTTTCCAAAAAGAGTAACTAGCGTTTAATTTAAACTAATACAACCGGTGTTGGCTTAAATCCTTCAAGCGAACACTGCTTTGTGACGAATAACGTGATCTAGCGAAAAGGTTAAAAAGGGGAAAGTTCAAACGGAGAAACCGACTGCACTTTCCGTAAGTGCTATAACTCGGTTACCACAAGGGCCATTCTTTGGTCGCGTTATTTTTTTCGACTCCCTTTCTCATTGCTTTCGATTATCACGATTTCGGAACTAAAGATAATTTTGCTTATTGATGTTCTTGTGTTGAAAAGCTGAATGACACTGTATTTATTTTTAGTTATTTCAAGTGCAAGGCCAGAAAGTTACTTTCATTATTGTCTCCCTTTTATCAAATAGCAATTATTTCTAAAGTTTGAACAATATGTTAAAATATTTTTTTTAAATATTTGAATGGTTTGCGGCCTATAGTTAACCTGGTTAAAAACTATTGTTGTGATATTATTATACTCGTATTTTATCTGGACAATATCTGTTTTTAATTTTTAAATTTTTAATCTGATTTACGTATTAAACAAAACAGTTTATGGAAATCAAAACACTATCATTAATAACGGCCTACAAATTAGTACGAACTTTAACTCTTTTGAAATGAGTTGAAGCCATCGCCAACAGCGTGACGCTGTTGGCGATGGCTTCAATAATAATATTTGGCTTGGCTTTAATAATAATATTGATATAATAATGCCTTGTTTCCTTTTTAATCTTTAAATAATTCTTTGAACAGACCTGTGTATTTAAAGTGTGCTAATTTGGTAAAAGATTTGCTTTGCAACCTAAGTTAATATTTTTGAGGAAACTGTGATATTTGAATATAATTTACCAGCGATGTCACACGCCGTCATTTCGGTGATTAGGCCCTCGAGGTCAGGCGAGATGAGTCGTTCCTCGTCCTCGGCGTGAGTGTAATCCAGCGCGTGGTAGATTACCAGCGCCAGGTTGACCACCATCTGAAATAAAATACAATATCAAACGTCTTCAATAGTATTTTCGCAGTGTTCATTAAACACATACAACCAACGTGACTTATCAAAGGGCTTTCCACAAATTCTCTCGTAGATGGATATTTGCTATATTTGCCACGCTTGGCTCCTGCCGTTTCAGTTTCTTGTCATCATTGCATTCTTATCAAAAGGATGATTCTGCCCTTCTCCTGTCTTAGATTCCCTTTGTCGCCTCTTACGACACCTACGGAATGATATTATGACTTTGATGGCGTATTGAATTATTTTACACCGCCTCTACAACAACAATTTTTTTACGTGGTAGCTTTACCATGCTGCAGCTATATTAGTAGTATAGTTATAGCACGAATGGGTCGGCTCGACCGGGGAAGAACCACGCTCTCACAGAATATCAGCGTAAAATAACAGCTTAACGCTACTTTCGTATGGTAAGTGTAGAGAACCGGAGACCCTTTTTACTGGAAATGAGGCATTCCATCTTAGTCTTCGCGGGTGACAACGCATCTGCATTTTTATTTGTAATTGAGGATAGATGTAGATGTCTATGGACCGAATCAACCACTTACCATCAGGTGGACTGTGTGCTCGTTTGTCACCCTTATCTTATAAAAAAAAATACAATAATCTTGCTGGTACTTCTTATTACAGAGCTCGTTTTCCGAACTCTCGGTAAAAGCTTATATAATCGTAGACTTTCAATAAGTATCATTTAAAAATACATTTAATTCTTTCTTGTAATTATTTATGTATTAATTTGGACCGCGTCAAACGACGCACCCCGCGTGACTATCAGAATCGGACTCACTAGACGGAACGGATGCCCGCCATTGTGCTACTAGTTGCCCAACCGATCTCGTCAAACCGCACCCGTGTGGCGATGCGGCGACGCAACACTGTACACACCATTAAACGCAAAATTAGTATAAGTACAGATGCAGCACTTGCTGCTAAGAATTACAAAACGGTAGGACTCTTTCTTATTTAAGAGTTAGACTGCGTTGGTACCTTCCTATTATACACATATTTTTATTGCTAAGCAGTAGCGTGAGATAATTTATCTCCGTCATCAAGATTGACAATGCGCAGGTCACAGCTTTCTTTGTTTGAAGTTCATCATCATCATCATTACAGCCCTTCACAAGTCCACTGCTGAACATAGAGCTCCCCCAAAGAATGCTACAAAGCACGGTCCTGAACCACCTGCATCTATCGACATCCTGCATGTCTTACTAGGTTGTCACTCCATCTAGTGGGGGGACGCCGTACACTTGGTCCGCCAGTATGAGGCCGCCACTTGAGAACCTTTTTTCCCTATCGGTTGTCAGTTCTTCGAGCTACATATATAGCCGGCCCATTGCCACTTCAGCTTACTAATCCGTTGGGCTATGTCGGTCACTCTGGTTCTACTGCAGATATCCTCATTTCTAAGTTTATCACGCAGAAAACCTCCAAGCATAGCCCTCTCCATAGCTCGCTGAGCGATCTTGAACTTCCTCATTCGGCCAGCAGTAAAGGACCACGTCTCAGTTCCATAAGTCATCACTGGCAACACGCACTGGTTGTACAGTCTCGTTTTCAAGTTTTGAGGTATGTTTGAAGTTAAGTATAATCAATCTAATATATAAAAATTAGTGTTCGTTTGTTCTTTTTGCGCTGCCATACCGTCCATCAGACTGCCGTAAAACTTTGTCAACATATTGCTTGCACTACCGCTAAACTTATAGGCATAAGTACAATTACCTTACAATAGGTGGCACTCGTATCGTAACGACAAATTTATTCGACAGTAATATAACAGAATGTTTTATCATTCCCATTTAAACGATACACTTCCAAATTTAAAACGATATTTCCGCAATTATTTCTTCTGCGCCAGCAACGTGCCGGGTATGGTACCTAGTATAAAAATAAACATTTAAAATTTGAATACATAGATTAATAAAACTTTATGAATATTATGTGAAGAGCAATCGTCTATTATTTATTTAAATTTATTTTATTGGTTATCTTAATTTTACCTGGTAGAGCCACGCTGCAGTTTTATTGCTGTGGGATTAATAGGTCGACCAGGAAAGGACTACGTTCGCACAGAAACGAAAAGGAAAGCGTGTAACAGATACATAATACTGTTGTGTTTCGTATTGTATCGTAGTGAGTGACGAAAAACGGTGACCTTTTTTGTGGCAACAATACAGTACATCTTAATCAGGGGTAGCAAACGCATCTCCATTTTGATTCATAATTACGGAAAGAGCCTATATGGTACAGCAGCCACACCACTAGGTTTAAGTAATAAAATTAATGTAAGGAGTTAATAGGTGCAGATGGCTCCGCACGTTGTTTTTTTATAGGATAGGGTGACAAACGAGCACACAGTCCACCTGATGGTAAGTGGTTGTTGTGGCCCATAGACATCTACATTTATCCTCGTTTGCGAATCAAAATGCAGATGCGTTGTCACCCGTGAGGACTAAAATAGAATGCCTCTTTTCCAGTAAAAAGGGTCTCCGGTTCTCTACACTCACTATACGAAACACAGCAGCATGAAGCTGCTATTTGACGCTGGTATTCTGTGAGAGCGTGGTCCTTCCCCGGTCGAGCCGACCCATTCGTGCTACAACTATACTACTAATATAGCTGCAACATGGCTCTACCACGTGTAAAAAAGACGTTGTATTTAATTTTGGCCAATTATTGGGGTAGGTGAAGGCCTAATATTTATGGCAAAGTGGTGAAAAAAGATGTGATGAAAATATGAATAATTTTTTGTTGGAAATATAAAAATTATTAACGCGGCAGATACGCAATGACGTATTAAAATTACTGGATTATTTAAAAAAAAACAGACAATATACAAATGATCCACAAAGTTAGCATATACTATGGAGAGTATTGTATGTAAATTACGCACAATATTGGGTTGTTGCACGTGTTGCGTAAGAGCACACAAATGACTCCGTAACAATAACATCCGATTTATAGGGTGCCTGCACACTGAGGAACACTAAGAAATTAATTCGAATCAAATATTTTCTTCGTAAATTTTATAAAGCACAGAGTAGAGATGATTGACAAAAAATTAAATTAATTACTGACAGATTGACTAAACCAACTGTGAATTTTGTGTGATATCAAATAACTCTTTTTCGATTTTTTTTTATAGAATAAGGGTGACAAACGAGCACACAGTCCACCTGATGGTAAGTGGTTGCTGTGGCCCATAGACATCTACATCTATCTTCGTTTGCGAATTAAAATTCAGATGCGTCGTCAGCCGTGAGGACTAAGATAGAATGCCTCTTTTCCAGTAAAATGGGTCTCCGGTTCTCTACACTCACCATACGAAACACAGCAGCATTATGCTGCTATTTTACGCTGGTATTCTGTGAGAGCGTGGTCCTTCCCCGGTTGAGCCGAGCCATTCGTGCTATAACTATACTATTAATATAACTGCAGCATTACTCTACCACGTAAAAATATATATCTTTTTCGCTAGTCTGTGGAGTGCATGTGTGCAAGAAACGTTTATTTGTTTATTTTACGTTTTGTATATTAGATATCTATGTTTTGTTTTGTTTTCTTGCTTCTTCAGCTTCAGCGGTAGATTATAGGTGCGAAATAAAGAAGGGACGTTTGTGTTGAATAAGTACTTGTTGTAAAAGTAAATCGAATTTATTAATCTCTGGATTTACCAGATCTTTATCAAAGCAAAGAAAAATATATAAAGGAAATTATTTAAAGTAGACTAAAATACAAGGTTTCATTCCATTTATGAACACACGTTTTGTGTTTAAGGTCACGTAAATTTAGTTAAATAATTTTTTATCATCAAGAATAGGTCACAGTGGAATTGTATGAAATGTTTTGAGACTTACGTAGATGGGAACAAAACAAAATAATTATAAGCTGAAAGTAGCCCAGGTTAACTGACATTAGGACGTTGCATACCTCAATCCATATGACACCAAGGCACAAGAATTTTAAAATTCGATTATAGATTTACTTGAGTGATTTGTTCACTAGGCAAACATGTATATCATCATATTGACTTTGTCGCTAGCAAGCTTGTAATACCAGTCACTAGACTCCACAGAATCAGTAATTCATTTATGGGGCAATGTGCTTTTTAATGGGCTTTTACAACAAAATCCCAGAACATATTCAAAGTTTTACAATAAACAAGTTTAAAAGTTTTATTAAAGAAAAACTGTACAAAAAGGGTTATTATAATATCAAGGAATACATGAATGAAAATAACCCCTGGGAATAAGGTGATCGCCACCATGCTGGTTCTATGAAAATTGTATAAACGAAATTGCTTGAAAAAAAAAATCCCGCTGGGTTTCTTGCTGGTTCTTCCCAGGACAGAGGTATTTTTCGAACCAGTGTTAGATAAAAAATGACTTTCAATAAGAATTATGTAATAATCGATATTGAATAAAAAAAATTCTATTCTATTCTATTCTATAGAGTGACGAACTGGTAAGACATGCAGGCTCACGACCGTATTTTGTGGCATTCCTTTGGGGAGGCTCATGTTAAGTAGACTCGGGAAGGATTAAAATGGGACAGTTATTATATTCTTTGTGATTGTAGTAATAATAATGATGATTAATATTACTATTAGTATTTAGACAGGATATAAATGTCTTGTATTTGTAAATTAATGACCGTTCACTTCTTAAGAACTGTTCAGGTATACAAAATACAACGCATGAACTATGTATTCCATGTAATTAACGAAGTTTTCGTATGAAAATATGTATCTCCATCTTGTACCTTGTGTATACCACAGTGGTAGCCGCTCGAGTTGTATGACGCACGAGTCGTCACGTCGCACGAACCGCTAAACTTTCTGCACTAAGCTTGTACTCTTAGAACTATCTTATTTTCTGCCGACTTCCAAAAAGGAGACGGTATTCAATTCGACTGTATGTTTTTTTTATGTGTGTTACCTCATAACTTTTTACTGGATGAACCGATTT